AAAAAAAAAATGGAATCTAGGTAAAAAATTGTTTTACATACTTAATATTATAACGAGCATTATAGTTTAGATCTGTGTATTTTTGTTTACTTTCAAATTTCTTACAAATGCGTAAAAATCCGTAGCCTAAGCAAATGGTAATCGATGAAACATTACCTGCCGCAATAAATTCGGTCTGGCTACCCTCGAAGATGGCAATCCTCCTGCTTGCCTCTGGAATTGTCTCTGAGAACCAACCAGAGACCCACGATCGTGAATCACGCTGACCACGCTGGATTTCACGTCGCTGTGCGGAAATAAAAGCTTCCACATGAAATTCTTAAGTGCCGCACGGAAGTCTTTCAAATGATAAGCGTATAGCAACGGATTGCCAGCTGAGTTCAAGTGCGACAGGATTATGCAAAAATTCATCAAGACATCGTGAACCCTGCATCTTGGGCAGAACGCCATCACACAGTTGATAGTGTAAAGTGGAAACCAGCAGATAATGAAAAAGAGCACGATGCGCGATAGATTCTGCGTTGCCTTCACTTCACGCTTTCTAGCTGCCCCGAGCAAGCGCAGCATGCATGTCTGGTTCCCAGTACGGCGGCACGGATTCATTGTTACAATTTGTTGTAGCTGCAAGAATATTCTTTGGTATGATAACGTATAACGATAATTGGAAAAAGAATATTCAGTATATTTATTTCGTGAAAATTCATTATATGGAAGACAAATTCTCCATGATATTTGATTAATTAAAGAAGATTAATTTCGTTAATTCATTTCTATGTTTGCACATGGTATGTTCATGTACGTACATTAGTACATACGCTGTGTCTGTATATTTACAGTAAAAGTATCTGACCTGCTTTACGACCACGCGGTATATATGGGTATAGAAGGCTGCAATTAATAGCGCGGGAAAGATGATCGTGGCGAAATACAGAAACACTAAGTAATCGTAATCCATCACTTCGGTGAAGATGCATTTCTCGTTAGATTTCTTGCCCGCATTCCAACCTAAAAGCGGTAGGAAGCCAACCAGTGTGCCAGCGATCCAGCACACGCAGATTATACCTAGAACAATGAAATTAACTTTTAAATTATATCTTCGTTATTATCAATTGTTGCAGATAAATTACCATTAGGCAATCCGGAATGCTACGATGTAAAAACTTAAATGAAACTTATTTTTGTTTTCACAATTTTTGGCGAAAACGAATGCATCAAGAAGAGATGGAAGGATTTATAGAGATCCAGATATAGAAGAAGAGAATGAAAAGTCGGTCAAAGGAGCCGATGATAGAGGTGCACGTGAACGTTATCGATTAGAGAGTACAGCAATAAACGCACCTTTTTCCTCGTCGGAGAAATGGTATCAGTCAGCGTATTCGTAATTAAAATCACTCGTGCCATAAACAGGCGAAACGCTTAAATTAATCATAGCCAGGCAGCTCGTTAATGAAATGAGAAACGTCTAACCGTGCCATTAAATTTTTCACAACTGTCTTCGATTTTCCAATAGAATATCACGCTCTTTCACATGAATTATAGTTGAAAACGCAAACTTTAATAATGCCTCTTTTTTTTTTTCTCAACGTTTGATTTTAACGAAAACCTATACTTTTTGATATTCTAACGTGAAATATTTTTTATAGTTTCGTCTTTTCATTTTTTTCTTCAGGTATCTGTCCTCTTTCTCAGCGTATGCGATTTCCATCAATTTTGTCATGGAGAAAAAATAAAATCCTTTGGGAAATCGAACAGATGGCTATATCACATGTATTTCACTCTATGCTAGCGTCATCAAATGCAGATAGAATTTTTTTCGAATTCCTTTACTTAATACTTAATAAATCGTGAGGATTACTAACTACAAAATTAATTATCTATTTCTACAAGTGAGTTGTATGCATGATGATTATTATGATTACGAGTTGTCTAAAAGACTGTTACAAAAGAAAATATATTTTAGAGAAGAAGAAAGTTTCTTTTCTGAAAACAGATTATATGCTATTTATTATAAATTATATAAAAATATTAGTTGAAATTATAAAACATAATTACAAGGAAAATAATACCTATAAAAAATATGTATACTGATATTAAAATTTTCCAAGTAAGGGAATTCATTAAACGACTGCGAGAAATTCAATACTTGATAAATTCATTAACTTCAAGTTCAATTTCTTGGGAATACGTATAATAAATTTCCATCATGTACGTTATTAAAATGTCTTACGCGCAAGGAACATACACCACCTGTTGCCCGTCTGGGATGCATTTTGTTACATTTCCGTGAAGAAACACGATACAACTTCTTTAAGAAAAAGCAGCACAGATAACGCGAATGCAAAAAACTTTAATGCAAAATAAAAAGTTTGCCTGTATGTTTTGTAGCTTTACAATTAAATTAAGATCAAAGCTTGATAACAATGGGATATCTCTGCACAATATTGTCTAATGAGTACTGTCTCGAATTGACGTTTTGATTCTCATACAACGGAACGTGATCAACATTCATTATCATTTGTCGTTACAATGTAGAAATAGTTATTGTCTTACAA